AGAAGACGACCCTCAATACCCGAATCGGCTGTCCACACTGCTCCTCGACATCTCGGCACTGGTGGTCGTCCAGTTCCTTCAAGGCCTCGACGGCACGATTGTCACGACCGCCATCCCCAAGATCACAAACCGCTTCCATGCCCTGGGCGATGTCGGCTGGTACGCCAGTTCGTTCATGCTGACCTTTTGCTCCTTCCAGCTGATTTGGGGCAAGCTGTACACCTTCTACACGGTGAAATGGACATACCTGGTCGGCCTCTTCCTGTTTGAGCTCGGCTCCTTCATCTGCGGGATCGCGCCCTCGTCCACGAGCTTCATCGTCGGCCGTGCGATTGCCGGGTTTGGTGGCGGAGGCACCGGCGCGGGGTCGCTGCTGCTCGTCACCTATCTGCTCCCTCCACCGCGGCGGCCAGCTCTCATTGGGATCCTGACCGCGATCTTTGGCTTCGGTGCGGCCGTTGGCCCGTTGCTTGGGGGCGCTTTCACCGACAACGCCACGCTCACCTGGCGATGGTGCTTCTACATCAATCTCCCGCTGGGCGCCCTGGCGGCCACGATCGTCGTCTTCTGCGTCCCCAGCAACAAGCCGCCGGGACGGAACACTGCTTTCCGCGAGCGCTTGCTGCAGATGGATCTGCTGGGCGCCGTGCTGCTGGTGCCCGGGATGATCTCGCTCCTGCTTGCGCTGCAGTGGGGGGGTTCCAAGTACCCCTGGAGTGACGGCCGGGTCATCGCCACGCTGGTCGTCGCAGGCGTGCTGGAGACTGGCTTCGTCCTCAGTCAGATCTGCCGCAAGGATGAGAGTCGGATCATGATCTCGTCGCGGCTGTTCAAGGATCCCCGGATCTGGTCCGCCGTCATCCTGGGAGCTGCCGCTACGGCCTCATTCTTCGTCATGCTGTACAATGTAAGAAAACGTGCTCTGCACTACTGAGGACTACTTGGCTGACCTGATCTGACCATTCTCTCTAGCTCCCCATCTGGTTCCAAGCTGTCAAAGGTGCTTCTGCCGCCTCCTCGGGCGTGATGAGCCTTCCGATGACCATCAGCTTCCTCGTCGCCTCCACACTCGGAGGGACTTTGAGCTCCAGCGACTCGTCTCCATCCTCATCTTCGCCGCCCCCGACCCCCAGCCGCGTCCGAGCAATTCAGCGCCTCTCCCCCACAACGACCAACGCACTCCTCATGCTCGCCACCCCAATCCTGCTCTCCACGGGCTCCGGCCTCCTCACCACTCTAACCCCGCACAGCAGCACAGGCCAGTGGATAGGCTATCAGATTCTGCTGGGTGCGGGCGGGGGCCTGGGGATGCAGCTCAGCATGACGGCCGCGCAGTCCCTTGCCAGCCATGCGGACATCACCATGGGGACGACGATCATCCTGCTGTGCCAGAACCTGACGGCGACGGTCCTAGCCTCGGTGGCGGCGACGGTCCTCAACTCCCAGCTGGCGGTGCGGTTGCGCGATGAGGTCCCGGGCCTGCACGGCGATACGCAGTTGGTTACGGGGCCCGGGGCGACGGGGTTTCGCGACGTGGTTCCGGCCGAGCTGATCCCGGCGATCTTGGTGGCGTATAATGAAGCGGTAACCAGGACGTTTCTTGTATCTGTTGGTGTGGCGTGCCTCGGCATTGGGGCCATCCTGTGGGTGCCTTTGGGATGGAGGCGCGCGGCGCGGGCTCAACGGGGCGCAGACGCTTGAACTGATGCTTTCTTTCTCTTTGAATTGACCTCATTCTCTACTTGTATGATATGACTGATGGAATACAACATGGTCCAGTAAGAGCCTGCACTGGTCGCTGACCACATTTTGTTTCCTTTTCGGCCTGATCTCAGCTCAAAACTAAGACCAGGACCTTGATCGAATTCATTTAATGGGTGCCCACTGCAGACCTGCAAAGCTCAGCCCTCACTTGCCCCCCTTCCGGTTTATGGCCGTTTCCCCTTACTTGGGACCCGGAGCAAAGGGCGAGACACCAGGTTACCCACGATCCATGTTTTAACCTGTAGACGACAACAGAATCCTACTGCGTCATTATAAATTATCCAGCTGTAACGTTCGGTCCACACCACATTCTTATACTTGCTGCTAGCATGCAAGCCACTACTCCCACCGAGATACAGTACTACCCTACCTTCCAACATGACTCGTGGGAGGGTAGCTGCACCGCACCCCGGCTATACCGCCTCTTTCATCAAAGCCTGCCCCTCTCCACAAACATAGAGTCTCACCTGCAAGCATACACGGGCATCATAAGCGTACGCCCAATCAATTGCCACAGAGCTAGCAAGGCACTACGGACCCCCGGCGCAAAGGATGATTCTCTCTCATCTCCACAGAGAAATGATAGGTACACGTGTCATGCCAAGGCCAGCAATGGTTTTGCACAATTCAAAGTGCAGAAATTCCAGTTGTGGCTGGGTGCATGCTTGACCTTGGGCCCCATGGTGGATTCCGTGGGGTAGTCATCCGCGTGCTCCTAGCCCTAGGTATTTGGCCTCGGCGCCTACACGCCGGGGGGGACACCCACCAGGGCTAGCAAGATTAAAAACACGCACCCTCATGTGTACGCTGTGCACTCGTGGATATCGGTATACGTAGTTGGTATGGATTATTCCCCTCCCTCCCCCTTACTTCTGCAGGGGGTGACCCCGGCAGAATTATCCGCTCGGCCTCGCGCGCCGTGGGCCCCTCTACTCACTCCAGGGACCTCACTCATACATAGGATGTAACGGTGCGGACGGTGCGTATTACGTCTCGAGCGGTGCTAATATAAGAGGCGGAGAAGGAGCATACTGCGACGTACCTACGTACGTACAGGGTCAATTTGTAATCTCAATCCCCAAGTACTAGTACAACATTATAAACGACCCGCCACCCAGACCACCCAGACCACCAAGACCACCAAGACTACCAAGTCCACCCACCCCCAACTACCTCTCACCCACAATAAACCCCAATATGACTCGCGCAGACGACCCTAACATGACCCCTGCGATAAAGATCGTGATCATCACCCCGGTGACGATGGATGTCACCTTCTACAAGCCTCAAATCGACCGCCTCTGCCGCGCCGGGGTGGACGTCACCGAAATCTCGCTGACCGTCGGGCCGGCCTCGATCGAATCCCGCGTCGACGAGGCCATGGCCGTGCCCGGCATGCTGGCCGCGGCGCTCGAGGCCGAGCGAGCCGGGGCGCACGCGCTGGTGATCAGCTGCATGAGCGACCCGGGGCTGAGCGCGCTCCGCGAAGCGGTCGCGATCCCCGTCGTCGGAGTCGCGCAGGTCTCCATGGCGACGGCGGCGACCCTGGCGCACAGCTTCGGGATCGTGACCGTGCTGGGCCGCCTCGCGCCGGTCCTGCAGGCCAACGCGGCGCACTGTGGCTACGAGCGGCGGTATGTCGGCTGCCGCGCGGTGGAGATCCCCGTGCTGGAAGTCCACCGCCGGGCGCGCGAGGTGCAGGAGGGTCTGAGCCGGCTGGCGCTGGAGCTGGTCGAGCAGCGGGGCGCCGGCGCGGTCATCCTGGGCTGTGGCGCGCTGATGGGCTGCGCGGGCGAGATCCGCGGGTTCCTGGCGGAGAGAGGCCTGGCCGTGCCGGTCATTGACCCCGTGCCTGCCACCGTCGCCTTTGCCGTCGCCTTGGTCGAGCAGGGGCTGAGCCACAGCAGCATCAGCTACCCGCCGTGTCAGGTGAAATCGTACGAGGGGTATGAGCTGGGAGAGCGTCAGTGACAGCGCTGGAGAGTGGTCGAGATCAACCTTGGTAAATGGTCGTGGCCATGCTCAGTGCATCGAGAGCACCACCATCAGCACCAGGAAAAGAGATGACTACGTCGGAAAGAGCCTGGCGAAAGGAAGACTGCGGGATATCTTCTCGCCTTCAGTCGGCCGAGCAACCACCTGGATCGAAGCCATTGTTGGACTTCTGCCGAGATGGAGAAACCCACGTCCGCAAGACGCGCTGGTTGATTGTCGAAACAGCTGCATTCTTTTTGGAGGTCTTCAATCGTTTGTCCTCAAGGCAGAGGGGGACATCCCGCGGCTTTTGCTGGAAGTGTTCCGAGCAGGTCCTCCATTAGACAGACATTCGGGATATCCTTAAATTGATTGCACTTGACTCGGTGGTTGGCTGGCGCGTCTTGGTTTTCTTTTGCGCAAGTGTGACTTTCTTCTAGCACAGGTGTTTACGCTTACTGTAGTTATCCGGCGTGGGTGAACATGGGTATCTTGCCTTGGGATATACTGAAGGGCCTACTTCAAGGCTCATAGATCTACTGGTTGCGATTGAAGTCTCAATTATTACTTGCCAAGGGGTGGTATATCCTACCTCGGGACGGAGTAGCGGGTGTCTCTGAAAGGGTCATCAACATATTGCTGAGAAAGACCCCTTGCACAATATCCATTTCCCGTAGATGAAAACTGTACTGGGTACTACCGAAATTGCAGAGTATTCTTTTCTGAAAATCTGCTGGCGATACGCAAGCTAAGCGAGAATTTGGAGGCGGTCACATAAGTGGTAGGCACTCGGTACGGGAGCGACAAAAAGGCATTTAACCGACCTACATGGGGATCGAACCCACAACCTTCGGATTAGGAGTCCGACGCTCTACCATTGAGCCAATAGGCCCGAAAGCTGTCAACCATATCCCCTAACGGAACTGGAACCAAAGAGCAACTCGAGCTAGCATGCTAACTCACCAAGAAATTCACTCATTAAAGGCCGAAACATAGAAACCATGGCTTGGATCACTTGGTAGGGGTATGACAGCATCTTGGTAGATTGTGCTTTCTGAGCAGGATGTATCGTCTCATAAGGGTTTTTTATCTTTTTTTCTGTGTGATTTGCATATCAATTCACTGAGTTGCAAGTTAGCTGGCTGGGGAGGATAGTGTTTCGCCAACAACAACTTGCAGAAGTGAATGCTTCGCCAACAATTCACTGAAAAAAAGTCAGCCATGATCACGGGACTTCCTGAGGTGCATATTTGTCTAACTGTGGTCCATTGGCTCAATGGTAGAGTGTCGGACTCCTAATCCGAAGGTTGTGGGTTCGAGTCCCATGTGGATCGGTTGATCACAGTCCGTGGTACTTCATTTGCTGAAGTGATTTACCACAGACTAGACCACCAATTTTTTCTTTTTCTTTTTTGCTTTTTGTACTTTGTCCATGGTCACGGCAAATATCATGCACAGAATGTGCACATTCAAAGCCCCCGCCGTCTTTTGTTACAAGATAGGGAGAAGAAACAAAAGGACAAGGCACCCAGGATCAATTATGAAAGTCTTAGGAATTCGGTATAGTTTCCAGTTACGGGATCAATTGTAAGTGACGCACGTAAACATAAGCTTAGAAGCACTGCTAGCAACGCCCCGACAGCTAGCCTTGTGGGCCAGCTTTAGGAATTTATACAGTATATACGTACCTGACTAGTTGGGTGGGTGACCACCGGCGAATCGCTCCGGTTGTATGTTGGTGTTCACCCGTTTGTTATTCTCTCTTTTGCCTAAGTTACCCTCTAATACAGTCAATAATTCCCACACCCAATCCACCACCGAAACAATATGCGCCTGGAAGCCGAGATTCACCAGGCACTCGGCGAACATGCTTCGATTCCAGGATTGATCAACTGGGATCCGTTGACCTGTTGCCTGACATTGGAATATCTGGAGCATGGAAACCTTCGGGAATATGTCAGGAGTAATTCCGAAGCCCTGACACCCAGCCTGCGCCACAAATTGGCGGGGCAAGCCGCTGCTGGTCTCCGCATTCTTCATAATGCTCATGTTATCCACTGCGATATTTCCCCACGGAACATCTGACTAGATCGTTTGGACTTGAAGATCTCGGATTTTGCTGGCTCTTCGTTGCGCGGTCACTCTCATCCGCATATGCGAACACGCGCTATCGCCATCCCAAGCACAGATGGGACGACCCTCCCCATTACCAAGATGACATATTTGGGCTGGGGTCATCGATCTACTCTATTATGACCAACCAGTACCCCTATGAGGAGGTACCGACGATGGTGAGGCGAAATATGGAAGTTTACGATTTCCGGATGTCAGCAGCATCGCATGCGGTACTATTATTCAACGGTGTCGGCACCAGGAAGTGACTGCGGCTCGGTTTTATGATTTCTTTGAACAGCGATCTCCCTAGAAACCAAACATGTGCTCGCCTTCTAGAATAGGCACCAGACGTCTCTTGACTTCCCAATAACTTACGCCTCTGCCGGTGTGGACTTATTTAGGGTCTATTCCGGCATACCCCCCATCTCTTTGCAAAGGGCAGCGGATTCGACTAATTCTTTGGCCGAGATGCTTTTTCTTAGAGATTTGCACGCCGTTGTCAACTCTCGAGGCGTAGTGGGGGCAGCCGTCAGTAATCACATCCCGAGAGACTCTGCTGCATGTAGCAGGACAGCTAGCATATTGAGTTGTAGAGACACGTATTTCACACACTGCAGGCCGACTTCTCGAAGATGAGCCGGAAGGTTGATACGGTGTAAGGGCAACTACTCCACAGTCAGTACGCCAGTCTGTGAGTTGTACACAAAGAAAGAGGCCCACTAACAAGAACGGCCGACGATATGGACTTCTCAGTATGATTGTTACTGGCATGTCCTGAGAGGCACGGAATGAAAAGCAAGGGTAGTGGACATGCTTGACACGCATTACAGGCGCTTTTGTAACGGAGAGTCTGCTTATGGCGCTATCTACACCGCTTGCGTCGAAAGAGGCTACAGTATTGTCCCAGCTCGCAAGTCAGAGCGCCCTGGGCTATTGTCGGAGGCGCACCGCCTGCCTCACTCAGGCGTATTGGTGTTGTTTTCTGCATAATCATCTGGTGTCAGTTCTTGTTACAGAAGTTTATCGTTTAGGGGCCGCCCAACTTTCTAAACTTGTATGGTGTTTCCGGGGAGAAAAGAAAAAACCGAAATGGAGCCAGTGACCGTGGCTCTAGATACATAAAGGTTATATTATCTCACCCATGAGAACCAGCTAATTCTGAAAGATGTTCATGCTTCTACAAAATCCGGTTGTACTTGATGTGCCGACCAGCCTTTACCCGGGCTACACACACAGCCGCCAATTCACTGCGAAATCAAGAAATCACATCGACAATGCCCCGAGATTCGGATGATGTCGGGGGTGAAAATCGCCAAAGAAGCATTATCCTAGTCGGTTAGGCCCACCCTGGTGAAGGTCTCTGGGAATGTAAAAGTACACTCGCAAGGTTCTAAAACGTGGTTTTCAATTTATTATTTACTACCGAATAACCTGTACGCCAAACTGCGGCTTCTACTTACCTATATAATCATCCTGCAATGTTTTCAGTGGCAAAATGTGGCTCTCAATCTGCAAGGCAGACTCCAACATAAAGAGAATAGTTACACTATCTGTTCTTACCTTTTATGATTCTTGTCACCGCTGTCTCTGGAACACGATGATCCCTTCGGATTCCGATGGTGATTTCCGAGGTCTTTCCCCCACAATCCTGTCAGCTGATTTTCTAGCCCTATTCTTTGTGTAGTATACCTACCACTCAAGTTTATCCGTTTATCACCTATGTTAATCCCGTGCATTGGTTTGGTACGTCTACTGTATTGTCTTCTTATTTCCGGTCCGTCATGTTCTATACCTCTGTTCATCTGTATAGGGAGGGGGGAACCGGGTAGGGGGGGGGGTGCGGTCTGTCATTGGAATATTACCGCGGACGCGACTCGTACTGTGAAGAGCAATCGAGATTCCTTGATTTAAAGTTCCACTACACGACCTTCACGGTCAGCGGCGTCCGTTGCATCAAATGTCATGTAGTAAACCAGGAGGAACCTCCTGCCCGCCCATGGCTCCGATTCCGATCGCCGAAGAGCCATTGGCTCACGCACAAATAATGACGGCAGCTGCCGCTTTGACTGCCCACCTTTCCCTGCCTGAAGTAGAAATCACGAAGTGCAGGTTGGGCAGGTTGCAATTGGCTGCTGTCGTTTTATCTTTTCTTCTTCTCTCTTCTCTCTTCTCTCTTTTCCTTTTCGCTGCTTATCACTGTGTTTCGAAATAGCAGGTGGGGAACTGTTGTGAGGAACTCTACAGCAAAAACCTCCAATGCAAAATGTGGAATACGAACCGGCGTACGGTCGAACTGCTGCCAATCCGACGAGTCAATTCACTTCTTTCAGCGCATTCCACATGGAATCCGAGGGGGAGGGGTTCCATCCCCGCCTTTCATGAGATGTCATCTGACACCAGCCATTTGCCACAGACTCCTGATGTCATATGGAAAGACAAAAGCCGACAGCTCCTGCGGGTTGCCGGAATGTATAAAAGTCTCCATGCTGGTATGTAGCGGTAGGGACGGGTCTAACTCAGCACCTTACAGCTTGACAATATTGACAGTCCCACACACACCCTCGGTGAAGTGAACCAGACCCCTCCATTCACCACAATCCCCAGATCTAGCTACAATCCAACAGACCCAAAACTCTGAACCATTTCCCGACATCAACAAATCATGACTACCTCCCACAATATTGAACACTACAAAACCAACGTCCACGCCCACTGGGAGGGCAAGCACGCCAAGGACTGGACGGAGGTCGACCTCATCGGGTACGAGAACGCGACGAATCGCTTGTACAACGAGCTGTGCGCGCATCCGGACGCCGCCGTCGTCCAGGTCGGCCATCGCTCGACCCTGCTCAACAACCACGGCCGGGACTACCGGTTCAACGGCAAGTTCTCCAGCGAGCAGACGCAGCCGGAGCGCAGTCACCACGAGTACAACCGGTTCGGGAAGCTGATGAAGTGGGAGGGCGATCGGTGGTATGCATATGATTTTGAGGTGGAGATTACGGATCATATGAGGGCTTAGAGGAGGGTCAGGGAGATGGTTAGGGCATGCTAGGAATTATGTCAACAGGTTGACTATTGCGCTGAGGTTGGTTGTGAGTGATAACTGATGCTTTTTAGCTGGAGCTTTGCGGTTGCCCCTTATTCTATTGTCTGATCAGGGTTATGTGGTCGCCAGTTGTTTCTGATCTGCCAGAAGATAGGTGCCGGTGTAATACCTGGGGAGGGATCTGATCTCAAACCCCCAATGGACTTTTTCACTTCATCATTTGACCAGGTCTTGGTGCGCTCACTCTAAAACTGGGACATATCATCAACGCATGTCGCCGTGGCCTTTGCGCGGCAGTCTCAACTATAGACAAAAGGATCAGTAGACTCCGACCTTGTATCTTGTGTCTACCATGTGCGCTGACACACAAGCCCCTAGCTTCCAATGGATAGAAACAAATTTACCCTTGAATACTTCCAATATGGCTTTGTGATATGTCCAATTCGGTCGCAACTACAAACGAGGTGGATTCATCATACCATGTGGCCTCGACCTGAGAAACGCCCAACGGGCCGCCGGGTCTCTGGTAAGACCCGAGCATATCAACAGATTAACGACTTTCCGCCTTACCGAAAAAGATGACTGTTTCGGTGTCTCGCGGTTGTGGGCCAAGTTTTAAGGATTGGTGCAGTAACTCTGGAGTATTTGTTCTATTGGACTGTCAGGACCATGATCCTGCTCGTCCCGATGATTGTCTATGAACTAACAAGCGTGCTTCAACCGAGCAACAATGCACCACCTCGCTCTGTTCTCGGGCCCTTCCTCCTCCCTGACCTCGACCCAATCTCGTCTGACCTCGCCATCGCCCTCTGCCCAGCTCGTGGTCTGGTCCCGCTCGTAGATTGTGTCAACCTCCAGGCCCATCTTCACCGCTATCTTCAGAAACTTCACAACAATCGGCCGGCCCGTATGAAGTCCCGCAACGAGCCAGATTCTCCCCTCGGGGGCAAGGAACCACTTCATCGTCCGGACGAGGTTCTTGTGCTGCAATTCCATCCAGAGGCAATCGGCCGCAATGATGCGCGTGAACCGGCCTCGGTTCGCCACCGCCCAGGAGTCGGACGCCAGGGTCCCCCACTCATGGGGCTGGACGGAGACCGCACATCCGTTCGTGGCCGGGATGTTGTGTTTCAGGTTGAACGCAATTGCACCCTGCAGCGCGGGCGATGCGGGATGGTCTGTGATGGTCACTTCCGACGCGCCCGCAAGGACCGAGACTGTCGACGGGAGTGCAGCGCCTAGGTCCAGATTGTGAGCATTTTAAGCGCAGGCGAAACACAAACAAGATGGAGGATGAGAGGACCAACCAGCGCCTAGTTCCAGGACCTTCTCTCCCTCGACCTTCCACATCTCGTCGACATATTCGTGACCGGCATGAGCATCCTCGACGGCCTCCGCAACAACCAGACCGGCACTCCACACAATATGAGCGAACAAACGCCGCCGCGCATCTACTTGACTGGCGTCGGAATTTGAGTCTATGCTGTTGGCCGACGATGAGTCTGAGTCACTCTGTTCCGGACTACTGAATGCACTCCCGCTCTGGTCGGGGTAGGACGGAACTTGGATGCTCAGATCACCATAGAGTGGCGAGGAGTAGAGGAGATATTGGCCCGGGTCGCCGTGGAACTGTGGTGCATCGTCGGGTAAGAGATGGGGGAGAAAAGCTGCGAAGATGTCTTCGGCTTCATCTTCGGCGGCGGCGGCAGCAGCAGCAGCATCATCACGCAGGTCATCCGTCGACGAGGAGCAAGATAAGGTGGGGAGAGGGCGAAGGCGAGACAGCAGCATTTTCAAGTGACCGTTGACGTGACTATTTTCGGTCAGAAGTTACACATATGTAAGTTGCTTATCGGCCGTCGAGGAAGAGGAAAAGAGAGCTCGGAGTGGATTCGGTCCTCTTTGAGGAGGGTTTGTGAAGAATTAAGGTAGCCACCCACTAGACTAACTAACTACCGAGTAACAATACGTACTTATCGGTTCAAGTTCCCCTGATCCACTCGCGCACTCACTCTGGTGTGTGCCTTCGATCTGGTTCTGCGCCCCTCGGTCGAATTTCCCTCGACTAATAACCCATTAAATTGTCCCATTTGCCCCACCACAAACAAGGCTTTTGTCTGTTACCATGGCATTGTTTTCTGAGCACCACTCACCGCTCAGGGAAGTATAAAGTCAATCCACTCGGTTCAAATTTCATCCAAGGCTATTGAATTTATGCCACAGCACTTCCCCATATCCAGATTCACTTCTACTCTCTAGGGCTGGTAATAATGCACATGGAAAAGACTTTATACTTATTTTATACTTTTTCTTCCTCCACGTGTAGACTGTGGGTATTGTACCGTTCGAAACCTTACCGCCCCCTTACTTAAGGCTATTCTGCCGCCCTCCGCACAGACTGCCGCACCCCATCAAACACCACAGACTGAGTTGGAAACAATGATGCCCCCGCTCACTCTTGTCAGTGGTAATTGGGTCATATTATTGCTTAACAAGTCATGTCTTGCTTAATATAGTGTGCTGAGCAAGCCTGCTTGATTGGACCCACCACGCTTATTCTGTTCAAAATCGAATACTTGATCTTGGCATGTCAGAGCCAACTCAAAAAGCTCGTCTATGTCGATAGATTGCCTTGAGATGCATATCCAGATTCAATCCGGGCAGGAGAATGGATGACAACAGCAATGACGACTATCATAGTCTCTATGCGTATCATGTGCCAACGTATCCAGCACATCATATTCAGAAGCTAAGATCTCTTGAGATTATTCCGGGGTGCCTCTTCTGGTCACCATTTCTACGATACGGAACGGATGCGGAACGGAAAGAAGTGGTGTGTGCCTCTCCCCTTGCCTCTCTTTGTGGGTCAAGGGGTTTCTTATGCTGCATTATAGCACCTGATACTCAAGAAAGCCCTGTAGGAGCAGTATGGCTGGTGCATGATGTCCGAGAGAGGGAGTGAAAAGCCGCTGCCAAGGAGAATCTGGAGCGCATCGACCTGTTTGATCCTGATTTCCGGTAAGGGTAGAGTGAGAACAGACTGCTACACATAGAACCAAGTTTGATTGCGCAAAGTGAGCAAGCAACATGAAGAAACGAACCAGAAGAAGTAGCGCAAAATCATCTTATGCAAACGGGCGCCTCACGGAAATCAGCACCTCACGCCCTCTCCCTCCTCACACGCTGTCATCCGCAGAAGCGCTAGCTCCGCCTGCTGTTTGATATCCATATCGAACCTGCGAATCTCTCCGGAAACAATGCGCAGAAACAGCTGCTTCCACAGACCCCAGCGCTCCATGCTCCACATCTGCCTGACTGGGTCGGTGACCTTGTCCCTTTTCTTGCACTGCGCATAAACGTACTTCCCATGTAGCAGGATCCACTGCACCCCCGCGAAGAGATCACACGCGATTTCTGTCGTTTTGGATGGGGCATATTGCCGGCCGCCAGGAATGATGTTCTCCAGGGAGCAGAGGAACCTGCACTCCACGAGACCCAGGACTGTGATGCGGGCGATCGCGGATTGGAAGTTGCGCCATCGGAAATGCTCTTCGTCGCAGATCATCCGACCGGCTCTGGCCTTTAGGTTGCGGTGTGTACACCTGTAAGCGCAAGCTAATTTTGGGAATACGAAGAGCAAGCATTAGAAATCTGAGCCGCCAACCAATAAACACGAAGGACAGGGGTAAAATAAGGTCAAACCAAAAAGCAGCACACGTACGAGGAACCTCTCGACGAAAGGCGTCCGCCGATCCACACCAGTTCTTGCCCAGCGGCCACAGCGGCATCTCCTCAAATGGCTCCATATCTTTCCCCTCGTTGGATTTCGGCCCCAAAGACGTGACGTGGTGTAAGGGCATTGCGCGCAGTGCCTCCAGGAACAGGATAATGCGGTCCTGAGCCGGATGGCCGGGTGGGCATGCGCTACACAGCACCGCAATCCACTGAAAGATCATCTTGACTTGGCACCAAGCTGAGGAGGCGACCTGGTGAATACTTGTCAAACCTCTGGTAACTTCCTCCGGGGTGAGCTGGTAAGGGTTGGGCCCGCTGCGCAGAAGGTCGTATCTGGCCGCGTAGCGCTGGAGCAAGACCGCGTCGATCTGACGGGCGGCTTCGGAGGGGTCAAGGTCTCCTTCGACCAGGCTGACGAGGATGGTTTTGTAAGCGAGATCCTCTTCATCGTCCCATTCTTGGTAGAGGTTGAGCGGGAGGCAGGCGCGCCTTTTGACGGTGTCTTTAGAGTCCATGATGATCTTGAAGTATGCGTACGAAAATGAGTGGCGGATGGGAAAGAGAAGAAAGTGCGAGGGATGAAGCGAGAAGAAAATCAGAGAGAAAGACCAACAGTTGGAGATCGGCCCCGATATGGCAGTCAGCTCATTCACTCCACGCCTCTATGCAGGGGTAGTGGGACTTGTCCAACTTGCGTATGCCGACTCGGAAAGTGAATGAAACACTATAAAACCGGCCCCCCGTTGTGTACCATATCACTAGATGCGGCTTCATTCACCTGGTCATCTCCTGGTAAAGATCATCCCGACACCATAGTCAACTCGTTCATTTCAAGCCTGTATGCAGGGGTAGCAGGACTTGCCGACCTCAGTATACCAGCTTGAAATGAATGAAAAACTGCTAAACCCTCTTCCTGTCGTGTATAATCCCGTTATATATACCTTGACTGACCTGGCCATCTCCAGGCCTTTTCTTTTTCTTCTCAATGCACAACAGAACAATCGTCTCTAGATCGAATCACACATTTGTTCTTTTCGTTGTTCAACCCAGTTTTTACCCCCTACATAAACAAGTCTTAATATCCGTGACCCGAGCATCCAGAAACACTCATTTCCATTCTCTTATTTTCCACATAACAACCAAAAATGCAGCTTTCCCGGCTAGTTCTGCCTTTTCTTCTTCTGATTCTGGTAGCTGTCGCGCTACCTTTGAATGACACAGAGGTTTCCTTGCTGTCTTTGAATGGTACAAAATTTACCTCGCTGCCTACGGAAGACATAGACGAGATCGAAGGTACAGTCGCCAAGGTGACACAGGGCGTTTGTCTACCCTTTTTTGTATGCGTTTCTTGATCCGTATTCACCTTGTCTTATAAAAATTCTCGTGGGCAGAGATGGCTTATCTGCAAGCCCAAGACAAACAAGTCAGACGTCAAAGAATTCCACGTCAATGTCGATGATGCCAAGGCTCAGGCCAAGGCTGTGGGCTTTACCATGGGCAAGAGTCTTAGCGCTGATCATTTTTTGGAAGTCAAGATCCTGATCTCCTTCATGCAGTTTAACCTTGATATTCGCCTTTACGTTTGCGCCAAGCGGAGGACACTACCTTTGCCTCAACAAACAAGTACACCACTTACCTCGGAATCTGCGACTCGAACATCAAGTACAAAGAACAATCCGAATTATACAGCACAAACATCATTACCAGTGGGTCTACACAAGGACATTATTGAATATCTCCCCTAGACGAAACCTACAATGCCTTTATCTAACCAAGATTCTTCTTCAAGAGCTATTCTATATAAAGAGTGATCGAAGATCACACCGTCTTCTTTGTCCTGCTCACTCCCTACTATCTCACGTGTCTCAAGAACAGATCCTCCAAGATACAATCCAAGGCCAAGGACTGAGCAATGCCGATCACTGTACCACACAACCGCGACCCAGCGGGTTTCCCGCAGTCGGGGCCCTCATATCAGCAGCAAGTGGTCTCCTTTCGACCCATCCCCAGCCCGGCACCCACCGGGTGTGCGGTCTGCATTCTGAGCGACCAAGCCCTACTAAGCTACGAGCTATACTTCTGCGGGACATGTAGGGCCATGTACCACCGGCCCTGTCTCTACGCGCTGCTGCTGCAGCGGAGCCATCAACCCACCCTGGCAGGAGGTACGTCCTCCGCGCCAGTAGCGCTCCACAGGTGCCCAACCTGCGGGATCGAGGGGGGCCAAGCCCCCATCCCCTCGGCTCCCACAGGGCCTGGAGCCCCCCGATTCTTCATCACCAGCCCCTACCACTACGACCGCACCCCCGCAGGACTCTACGTGTGCACCTACATCTCCACCGCACGGGACGGGACCTCGCGGTCCTGCAATCTGCACTTCAGCGCTTGGCCAAACTACCGCGCCCATCATCATCAGGCGCATGAACGGGCGGCCGATGCAGGGCATTCGTGTGAGGGTTGTGCCGTAAGTAGTAGTAGTGGCGGTGCCAGCACTGCTAACGCGACCGCGACCGCGGCCGCGACTGCAACTGCAACTGCAACTGCCACTACCACTGTGACTGCAACTGTGACTGCGACTGCGATGGCTACCCCTCCCCCTGTCCCTGTTCCTGTCCCTGTCCCTGCCCCTGCTCCTGCTCCTGCCCCTACCCCTACCCCTACCCCTCCCATGACTCTCACCGATCTCCTTCTAGCCGTCGAGGCGGAGAGCACCGAGCCACCAATGCATCTCCTGCCCCCGCCCATCTCCCTAGAGACGGGACGAGAGGTCAGCACCACTCCGACGACACCCACGACCCCCAAAGACCAGCCCCACCCCCAGGCCGCATACAACTCCCACTTCAAACGCACTAAAGAAGGCCACTTCATCTGCACCTTCCCCGTCCCCACGAGGACCAGGACGACAACAGCCGCCACTAAGCCGTGCGGATGGCGTCTTGGGAAGTGGCATAGTTTCAGGAAGCATTACTGGCGGCAGCATATGCCCCAGGAAAACACGGGGGGCTGCTCTTGTAGTGTCACGAACAGTAACAGGAACCCGAGTAGCGGTAGTACTCACGCTAATGCTGGTATGGGCGGTTTCGCTATCACCGCCGAAGCCAACCCTGTACCTGGGCAGCTCCAGCGCCGACGGTCATCCACGGTGTCTGCTTTGCCTGCTTCGTGTGTCCCCGCGGCTTCGTATGTTCCAGCGGCTTCGTATGTACCACCGGCCTCGTCCGTCCCAGCGGCTCCGTATGTTCCAGCAGCTCCGTGTGTTCCACCGGCGCCATATGCATATACCTCACCGACCCCGCCCACAAACCCAGTCCAGCTAGAACTGCTGCTGCGATTGCAGGAGCAGCGGTACAGACCGCCGCCGCGACCGCAGGCGCAGCCGCCGGTCATCCGACAACGCCAGCCACGGTTCTGCCCGCTCTGCGCTGTGAATTTCGGGAATCTGGTCCCGCTGGTCCAGCATCTGGAGGTCGACCACGCCATAGAGTTTCCGATCTGTATGTTGTGTCTGTCGTGGCGGGCGGATTGGTGGGGGCTGCTGCTGCATCTGGAGGAGGATCATCCGGAGTGGGATGGATTGTTTGAGGATCCGTCGGCGGTTCGGCCGGGTTTGTTTGCTTAGAGCGGCGTCTTTGAGGGCTAGGTTTAGGGTTATGGGATTAATAGTATCACAATCAACTGTTATATTAAGATGTATGTAAATAATATTCTCGATAGCTGGATTTGGAAGAACACGCGATAGTACATAGATACATACTAAAAAACAATGCGAGTGAGTGATTCATGTACTTAGTAGCTAGCGCTGCTGCATCACAAAATGTCGACAAATTGGGTACGTTATACTTGTTGTTAATCTCCCTTGTTCTCACCATCTATTTACCTGTTCACAGTAGTATAAGACTTTTAATGACCTGTCCCATTGCACAGCGCATAACAGCATTCAACATGTGTAATGAATCCATCGCTCAACCTCCGAGAATTGCAAAAATAAGAGATCCCATCCAGTCCATCGGGAGACCCACCCAGTCGCATCTAGACCAAACATGCGAGCATGCAGGCATGCGTGCGCCCCACTCTTACCGAGCATTCCCCTCCAAAAACAAAAATGAAAGCCCAACGCGGGGGTTGAACCCGCAACCTTGAGATTAAGAGTCTCACGCTCTGCCGATTGAGCTAGCCGGGCTAGTTGGTTGAAGTGTTGTGCCATGCTTGCGAATATATCCCTCAGCAAACTCCACTCTATAGCAGATGACTGCATCATCGCTTGCACACCAGACAGTCAGTCTGAGGTAAAGACAGAGTTTGCGGTGGAAAAAGCTAGCCTTACCCCTGAGGCTGAGCTAGCATGTGCTTCTAGAAACCAACGAATTCCGAGATCTGTGGCTGTGTAGCAAAATATGGATCGTTGCGGTGGTTGTATATACTTGCGGGAGAGCCGTTGCGCGCGCGCTGCGAGAAATCCGGTCAGCTGGCAGTCCGCCTGAACACGCGCATTATCATAAAGCAGCACAGCTCAGCTATTATGACCTGCAAGTCACTCCATTTATTTGCAACATGTGGCATTCGACTCACCGTCATGTGTGTACACATCATCGCCGACGCTCAGCGAGTCGGCGGTAGAGGAGCTGAGTGCCAAGGCTCTCGGGATATATGAATGCCTGATAATCCAGGCAGCAGATCGCAGCGCACGAATTCCGGCCGACTGATCGCCTCTCTCACAACAAAAGTCGGCGCTGATATGCATGGGGCCGTGCGGACTGAAATAAATATATCTGGCGCAGGCGTATAAGCAGACGGCGGGTCGGGGGGTCGTGGGATGGACCGCGAGCAAAATCGTGCGAATTGCTATACAGGAGGCAAGAATCCCTGCCCCTAATATTAGCGCATCGGCAATACCACCAAGAGAAGATTGGAGGGGGAAGTCCGGGCTGCAGATCAATCGAAACGAGAAGTGGAAAGGGTCAGTTTGTTTGAAGGATGAGAAGGTAAAAGCCAGCAGACTATATGCAGGATGAAATGGTGGAAGAAGGAAGGGAGAGAAGAAAAAAGTAATATGGGAAATAACCTCAGAGGGTGATGAACATGAAACAAAAAGTAGACAGCCGGAGGCCGGAGTTCTAACAGTGCCAGAGCCGCCGACAGGAAGTCGAAACATATCTCATAGCCACGAAAGATGACAGCCAGTCGGACCTGCTGCAAGTACAGTACACGCTCAGTCGCCCGCATACAGTTCTCCAGGCCCAGACCCCCCCAACTAGACCTATATCTACTCAGTAGAACGTGATGCTTGAACCATCAAATTTACAAATTAATGTTCCTGTTCATCATATTCACAAAGAAGCAAAGAAAAACGTAATCATCACACATCACAAGGCCAGATTCGCGCAGCTGAACGCCGGCGAAACCGACCCGGCATAATCCGCAATGATCGCCTCGACGGCCGCATACAGCCCCGGGCCCAACAGAAACAACCCACACGCCATGATAAACACATGGATCGCCGTCATAATGCTGCGTCCAGCGCCGGCGAACAGCTTACCCCTGTATAGTTGCCAGTACGCCACGGCAAAGAAGATGAATCCGAAGAACGAGTCAAACGCCGCACCCAGCAGAGACAGGAAGTCGCCCATGCTGGGAATGACCTCCGAGAAAATGAAGCCCAAAATCCAGATCGCCGCCATCAGGCCCAGCCACACCCCCCAGCCGATGACCGTGTTGCTGTGCGCGTGGCGCGACCGACCCATCAGATGTCCGAACACGAATTTGGCGCTGACGTTGGCGTAGATGACGGCGATGATGAGAGTGGGCGCGATGACGAAGCCAAAGGAGGCCTTCTTGTACGCGACCGTCCCAAGACTGCCGAACGCCGGTGCGGTGGAGTACTGACCCAGGTAGCGGAATCCGATGGCCGGGGGGACGATGAACAGGATAACAGAAATCCCAGTAAGGACGGCGAGGGCCTTGGGGAAGTCCTGCGGACGCTCCATCTCGGCGATAAAGCTCGGGAAGAGGATCTGGGGCACCCAGAGGAAGGTGATGTTGAGGACTGCGTTCATGCAGTTGACCCAGGTCGTGCCGGGAAGGGGAAAGGCGTAGGTGCGCACGGGTCCGTCGGTGGGGTAGTTCCCGTTGTACCCATACAGTGGCGCTGTCTCAATCCCCGCAAAGATAAGGAACAGAAGTATGGCAATGGCCATACAGGCCGCTACAGAGGTAGGTTAGCACCATTACGCGCACGTGGGTCTAATGCTTTCCACCCGAGAACTCACATGAGAACATGGACATGAAAGAGACATGGTGCAGCGTCCGAGGAACGGAGAGCACCACGCCCATGATCGTGCAGATCACCGAGAACACCACCGTGCAGAGGGAGTGGTCCGACAAGGTGTTGAGAATCTTCGCCCCGGTCAAGATGTGGAAGCCGATCAGGAGGATGTTGTTCGCCATCAGCATGAACCCGGCAAATGCGTAGGCGATCCGACTCTTGCCAAATGCATAATACCCGAAGTCGCCTGCCCATGCAATCGTTAGCCTCGATCTCGAGTCGCAAGAACCATCCACCAGAGCCCCTTACAGATATTTCGGATCTGCGGATGTTTCATGATGAACTTGTGCATGGTCGTTGAAGTGATCCAGAACAGGATCCCGGAAAGTAACATGGTGATAATCCCTGGCACCCACCCTAGAACTCTGGAAACCCAACAGCCATCAGTACCCATAACACACAATCACGGATCGGCTTAACTCACGAGAGCGACCAGGACTGCGACATGATAGCCAGACAAACCTGCTCTCCGCATAGCAGCCACGCTCCCTTCTGCCACGACATAGTCCGGAGCTGGATCTCATGTTGGTTGTCTGTGGAATGCGCCCAACAGAAGATTAGCCATCATCATCGCCATTTAGGACAGCCACCTTAGCCTACCCTCATTCTTGAGCGCATTCAAGATCTCCGCCGAACTGTATCCATCGGAATCGAACTCGTCGACATCGGCGGGCTGCTGCACCGGCTCCTTCTTCTCGTCGTGGATCATCGCGAAAGAGTTGGAGGAGTTGTTGTCGAAGTGCGCGATTCAGCAACGAAGTATGAGGGACTCGTATTTCCGCGGAGGCTGCAGGGTTTTAAACAATCAAGATGTTCTAGACGCAGCACTAGTGGAGGGCGGGTTGATTGGGGTGCTATGGCGTGATAGCGCGGCCGATGTTCGCGATAAGGCCCCAGATAGCCAACCAGGAACATGCGTTCCTCTTTAGCTTGCTGATGGGCGGAGCACGATGGAGGCAAACTCAGATGCGAACCACCTATGATGAGGATATAAAAGTAAGTGTAAGAAAAAAAGAAAAATTTCAGCAAGCTAAGCAGGAGCGCTGGGCAGTGGCAAGGAAGGATTTCCAAGAAGTCAGAAAGGCGACCGATGGAAGAAGGAAGGTCGAGCTGACTGCAGCACACCTGCAGTGTGCTCGGAGATGGCCGAATCTGGATTGGAAAGAGGCAGCCAATGTTACCCTGCCATGACCCTTACATAATCGGGGTGACCGTGGACAAGGTGGTGTCACTATCTGATGGTTGCGAATTGATTTTAGAAGAATATGGTCAGTTGGTCAGTTGGTCAGTTGGTCAGTTGGCATGGATGGGCGAGATTAAGTTGACAGCCTTGTGGTTGACACTACAAATTAAGGTTGCGAAGTGTGTTCCTGGAGGGGTTGGCAGGGGTTCCACTGGCTCATGCGAATTCGCACACCACGTGTGCTACGGATGGCGTCATTTGGCAATGATAGACACCCCATGCTAAGCTTTGCGCATTCTTTGTCAACTCGGATGTTTGGGAGGCCTCGTATTGATCATGTTTACATCCAGTGGCTTGCGTGATTCTCGAATCCTGCGATCCTTCGACCAAGTGGCTAGATAGACCGTAACTTAGCAACGGCTAGGGCTACCGCCGTGCAACCTACCTCATCATCAGATACGATACGTTTGTATGGCCTATCAAGGCTAGCAAATTTGTTTTCGACCATGTAACTCTCACTGTGTTGAAGGAAAGTCCCCCTTAACCTCGAACGGAGTCTTAATGGTGGATCTTGATGGTGGATAAATCATCACCCCCACAGCAGCGGCCGGCAGCTCCGGGCTCCATTTGTGATACCCACTGTCCAGCTTTACTCGAAGCTCGATTCAAAAACTGTTTGAACAGGCATATCCCTTTGCTGCCAGCAACATAAGCGAGCTCTCAGGTTTACTTGCACAAGATCCTCCCAATGCTCTGTAGCAATGGCACAAGCCCAAAACAACACTGAGCACAGCACTTGACTTTCCTACACGAGAGTTTTCGTTCTTGCCTTGCGCCAATGGATCAGGGCACACAAACCAAAGATCGATTTTCAATTTCTTGCCACTAACTCAGATGTCAATCACCCAGCACAAGCAAGGACTGAGATGGGCCGTGCGTACACACCACAACGCACGCTAGTCTGGAAGCAGACCAAGAATTGGCAGAAAAGCTTCAGAAGAGAAAGCGGTGAGTTCATGAGAGCACTATTCCACTTCCGGTGACTAGACTTTTACCAGAGTCCGTGATGCCAAGACCTGCATCTGTTCCAGTAATTCTGCCTGAACCATGAGGCAACAAAAGCGACCAGGATGTTGAAGCTACAACACCCGACTCTTCTGTCGGATCCGACACGGTCACGTGACGAGAAAGGCTAGATATTATGCCACACTCTAGGACCCCAGCAACATTTCGGGTCTCTATGCTCGGGGTATATGTAGCATGTACTACTGACCAAGGTATGATACTCCGCAAGAACTGGCCTCTCCTTGAGCATACCATTATTTAACTATAGTAAGAACTATCTTTCTTACACCAAACCAGTGTTGTGACTCTACATCTAGTGGCACTTAGAAAGCATGACCTTACAAGGTCCAGACCTGAGACTTACATTTCACCCTCTATAACTTAGTAGTCGCAGATCAGGGCGCTGATGCAAACGGCATCTCTGACATTATTGTTCCCCTAGTATATCGACGGCCAACCCAGTCACATCTAGATTTCCGTCTGGATTTTTCCGTCGGGAACGTCGGCCGATGGTGATGATTGTCATATGCTGAAGTCTCATGAGTTGCGCCTAGACGAGGTGCAGATCTTTGGGGTGTGGATTCGCAGGAGGACGGATCCGACGGTACTCTTCATCACGTGGAGATGTCTGCTCTGCGAAAGTATGTCAAAGCTGTTGTTTGCTCCAGTTGAGGGCTTGAGGGTGCTCGATGCTGTTGTACTGGAGGCGGGGCTTCTGGGTATTCATCGAGCTTGTGACGGGTCCGCGAGGTTATGGGGTGACACTGAGAACATGCGAAGAGCCTAGCTATTATGGGAGGGAGAGTGAGGATCTGGAAGAGCAGGCGTCGCATCTTCTGCAAACGAGATTACATCTTTTCTTGCTCAACTTAGCGGGGTTTGAACGGGACACGCCCGAAGTGGCAAAGGAGATGGACTGGTAGTGACGCTTCATGAGGTGAATGAGCTCTGCCTCAAGATAGTCTGCCCCACTTTCCTCGCGACTCATCACAATGAGAAGACAGTAGAAGGAAAAAAGAGAAGTGGAAAAGCTTTTCCCCACGACTCTTCTGGCGCAAAATGCTTTCCGTACCGACGTCTCGCATCGAGTCCAACGCTTGCATGCTGTACTGTGGACGGGTCAAGTCCCCCAAACAAGATACTAATCCTCATCCGTCAGTCGAAAACATGTGAAGCGAACATAGCCACCCGATCATGCATGACCCTGCTCTAATTTCGACACGCTTGTCGCCATAGCACAAGTCCATAATGATTAAGGTGAGAAGCTCGGCGGTCCTAAATCATTTACACGGTGCTTGGTTGCTGGGCGCTAACATTGACTTGTAAATAGAATGCTTAGCAATCAAAAAGACGCCGACAGCATCTGCACAGTCTAATTCCCCGACGAGGTATCTGATGTGGGTGCAGGTACTACTGCATTTCTCCATCCCATCCCGCCACAACACGGAGATCGACACCGCCGACAACATAAGAAGACTTGCAGCGTTCAATTTTCCGCCAAAGAGCCCTCAACCTCGGACCAGGTCGCAGACCATGTGTGCTGTAGAGCACGGAATGCGGTGCTATTCAACTGCTAGCATGCATTTAGGATAATTCTGCGATCAACAATCGTCAGGAGGTCTGCGCCAAGCCAGACGAATACCCTCGACATGCATCGGCTGGGTAAAAGCCCGGACAGGGCCTCGACACAGCATCCAAGTAATTCAAGTACATTAAAAGCATCAGATATAGCATTCAAACAGCATCCGTGAAGGTGTCTTGAACCCCCAGTGGTTCTGGCCGTGCCAAGACGAGCCGACAAGCAGCGCAGCACAGCCACGATGGAGTCAAACATCCGCGCTCTTGGCAACCCCGTCCTGAAACGCCCTCCTGCTTCATTTGTGGAAGTTCTGCTGGAACTGCTTGCCAGCTAACCCCCGGATATGCGCGCATTGCGCTTGGCATGTGTCGAAACTCCGCTTCTTCCGCAAAACCCTAGATGAAGCGGTGTCGCCTCCGTCTCAGCAAGAACACCGACCGACAAGCTTGGCGGGGTCACTGCCGACAGTTGCCATGCAAGAGCTTGAACGCCTTAGTTGATGCTCTAGAGACGATAGTCCTTCCACCTATGGCAAAGGGGGTCCAGCCAAGTCTTGGGTCGACCTCCTGATGATGTATACTCGTTTAATGAGGGCGCTTGGAAGGTGAAGATGGCACCACCAGCACCGATCCATCAAGCTATAAAGACATTGTCTTCCATCCCAGCTGTCCTGGCAATCCATCAACTAACTCACCTTCTCACCTTCTCTTCCCTTCTTTCTCTTTATTCCAACTATAGTCTTTTGCTCTCCTTTCATTCTACACAATGACCAACCTCAAGTGGATCATTGCAGTGGCCGGCCTCCTGTCTGGACAGGTCCTGGCTGCTCCTACTGCCACTACCCACGCTAAGCGTGCCACTGTCAGCGACGTAAGTTCTATTTCCTCCTTTAACCAGGGCAACACTAACCTAGCTACTTCCCCGTAAAGAGTGCATTCGGCTACGCCAGCCTGAACGGCGGCACCACCGGTGGATCCGGCGGAACCACGACGACCGTCTCCTCGTACGCGGCCTTCACCTCGGCCGTCAGCAGCGACGACAAGAAGGTGGTGTATGTCAGCGGCACGATCAGCAAGGCGGCCGACCAGGTCAAGGTGGGCAGCAACACCTCGATCATCGGCAAGGACGCCAACGCCATCCTGGACGGATTCGGCCTGCTGGTCAAGAAGAAGGAGAACGTGATCATCCGCAACCTGGGCGTGAAGAAGGTGTTGGCCGACAACGGCGATGCCATTGGTGTTCGTACGTGCCTATCCCATTGCCCCCCCCCCCTTCAGATAAGAAAGCCCTCCAAGCCGACGCTGACTGTCATCTGCAGAGTACTCCAACAACGTCTGGATCGACCACTGCGACGTCTCCTCCGACCGCGACCACGACAAGGACTACTACGACGGTCTGATCGACGTCACTCACGGTTCCGACTACGTGACCATCTCCAACACCTTCCTCCACGACCACTGGAAGGCCTCGCTGGTGGGCCACTCGGACAGCAACGCCGACGAGGACACCGGCCACCTGACCGTGACCTACGCCAACAACTACTGGTACAACATCAACTCGCGCGGCCCCTCCTTCCGCTTCGGCACCGGCCACATCTACAACAGCTACTACCTCGATGTCAGCGACGGCATCAACACCCGCGACGGCGCCCAGCTGCTGGTCGAGTCCAACGTCTTCAGCGGCTCCAAGAAGCCCCTCTACTCGACCGACAGCGGCTACGCCGTCGCCAACGACAACGACTTCGGCGACGGCGAGAACGCCGCCGACAAGGGTACTTTGACCTCCGTGCCGTACAGCTACACTCTGCTCGGCTCGAGCAAGGTTAAGAGTGCTGTTGTGGGCACGGCCGGACAGACTCTTACTTTCTAAGCTTGACGAGCTTGCTTAGCTTAGCTTCGCTTTGCCGGATGAGGGGGGTAGTGAGGGGGTAGTGGTGGTGGTGGTGGTTTGTCATTCATTTAATTTCTTAACGGGTTCTGATTTCTCAGGGCCTTTTCTTTATCCAATTGAGTTGGTATTGGTGATCCTTGGTTCCTCGGTCTTTCGTAGAGATGGGCAGATGTAGTCGTCACCGCTGGCGCCAAGAATGCTCGATCCGGACAATGTGAAACTGCCATGGCTTCGCCAAGGGCTTGTTGGGGCCCCACTGGCACCCGCGCTCGGGCCAGCTGTCCCGCATGGTTCGTTTAATCTTCGGCAATTGAGGCCCTGAGTTGGGTTGGTATGCGGCTGTGAAGATGTCGGGGTAGTGTTAAATGAGATGTGTTTCAGGTACCGCTGCAACATGGCAGCCGAATGACCTGTCATGACGGAGACACATCCCATAGCTGAAAATCCATAGACTGCACCCCTTGCATTAGTGAGATGAGTCCACCAGGGTAGACCACATAGTATTGATAAGTTAATGGGTATAGCAAAGTCCCCAGTCCTTTCAATTCCAAAACCAGCACATCTCCTTCCTTCCCTCCAGACAAAACTCACGCCGACTACCCAAATCCCCTTTCCACACTCAAAACCCCCCCATTAAGCCCCCCGAACCCTCCCATCCAAATTCACCACCCAAACCCTCGTCTCCCCCATCAAGAACATTTCCCCAGCCTCCCCAAACACAAAGTTCGCCACCCCCCCCTCCACCCTAATCTTTCCCAACAACACCCCGCCCGCCGACCAAACATTCACCCCATCCCCGCACCCGGCATACACATTCCCGTGAATATCCACCTTAATCCCATCGGGTACGCCCTCATCCGCCATCGCAAACACCCGCCGGTTCACCAGAAACGGCTCCCCGTTGATCGCCGTGACATCGAAAGCGTATCTACGCCAGCATAGTTAGCCACCCACCGGGTCTACTGTCACACCCCCGACCCCCGACCCCCGACCCCCACAACCCCTTCCACAGCTAACCCCCACGAACAAGACAAGACAAGGGAACAAACATACATAGTGGCCGCCCTGGTCAAATCCACCGTGCCATCGCCCCGCGCCGCCCCGGTATCCGTAACGTACACCGTGCGGCCCCCGGGCGCAAAGCAGATGCCATTCGGCTTGTCGAACCCGTCCGCGACCACGCGGACCGCTTTGGTGGCGGGGTCGTAGCGGTACACCTGGTTCGGGAGCCGGGGGGCCGTCTCCGCACCCCGCAGACCCTGGATGTAGGCGTAATCCGGGTCGGTGAAGTAGATGCTCCCGTCGGCGGGGTGGATGGCTACGTCGTTGGGGGAGTTGAACGGTCTGGATTGGAAACTGGTGAGTAAGGGGCTGCTGGTGTAGTTGTTGTTGTTGCTGTTGGTTAGGGAGAGGGTGTAGAGGCCTGCCGGGTGGGCGGGGTCCTCGTCTCCTTGGCCGCAGAAGACGATTTCGTGGTTGTTGTTGTAGGCGTGGCCGCCGTTGGGGTGGGGGATGGCCGGGGTGGGCGTGATGAGTTGGGCGGTGAGGGGTGGGGGGTCGTCGAGGCTGAGCTTCGAGATTTGGATGGTGCTGGTGTTGGTGTGCGGGTCCGTGAGGATGTTGCTGGTCATGTACAGGGTTCGGGGTTGGGGGATGTAGATCGGGGCTTCGTGGGCGAAGGCGGTGGTCGTGTTGTGGTTTGTGGTCAGGATGCTGAGGGTGGGGTGCAGGCCGGTTAGGTTGAGGAAGTCCGGGTTGTGGACCTCGAAGGCCGCGGGGAGGGACGCTGCTGGTGTCCAGGTGGGGGTGAGTGCGGTGGTGGTCATTTTGGTGGTGGTTGCGGATGTAGGAGTGTGGATGGCGGTGCGGTTGCCCTTGCTTTATTTATCGTTTGGAGGCAGTCCATGTGGTTCAGGCATGATGTAAGGGGCACGTTGATCATTTGCTTGCGTCGGACAAGGTTATGCGCCAGTACTGCCAAACTACCACTGGGCCACTGCGTTGTCCTGCATTGCCTGTTTCGGGCCGCTTTGGACCCCCCATTAAGGGCCAAGATTGATTAGAATTGGGTTGCATATCTGACCTGCGGCCACTTTGGGGGAGGATCGCCGATCCATGGCGGGTGGTCTCACCGAGGTTTCCCCGGTGCGGAATTATTGGCGTGCAAGGTGGACTTGGGAAAACCGTTGAAGACTTGTACCCTACGAGTATTGATCTCCTTGTCTCGCTAGTCTCGCTAGTCTCGTCTTTTTGAGTGGTCACAGAGGCACAGCGGGAGTCGAATGTAATCGGCTGACATGGAGGGATATCTGGGCTAGTTCGGAATCCTATTCCGAGGACGATAACCAGTTCCGGCCCCCATTGCACTCCCTTTTGCAGAGCTCGATCGATTTAGCCGTTTCACTAGCTAGATTAAGCATTGCTGTCATACTTGAAGCTTCGCCGTCTGGTTTTATTGCTTTCCACAGATCAGTCGTTCGTAAGCACATACTGCATCTTCATCATATATAACAAATCTCCGTACGGAATTCATGTTATATGGATCACAATGCACCCACGGAACACTGAGATCCAATAAGTCATGTTCACCAGCATCTCCTGTCAGTATATAGACTAATTCGATGCATATGGCAAGACAGAAGAATACTTAGCCATGCTGTGTAATATGAGTCTCTGTGCCCCTCATCTGGACGTGTGCTGTGTTTGGAGATTGGGTTTACACTCTCGCCGGACCGATGTCTCCATACCTCGATCTTTCAGGGTGCCAGAAAAGGAAGACCAAAAAGAAGATCCGAATAGGAAGAAAATCTGGACAGTATGTTTCCCGAGTGCGGATAGCAACTGCTAAGCTCGAGAGCTCCCCACTCCTCACTGCCTACGCCCACACTATGACTGTAGGCTACCTTATTTCACGGACTTGCATAATCCCTCGCCTGCGAGCTGATCAGCTCACACAGGGACGAGAACATTGATCCGCGATGCATAACACCTCCATTCGACTGCGCGATGGGGAATGATAGCTGGGCCGTGGAGCATGATATCATTCCAAAAGATAGAAAGAACAAAAGCACCGCAAAGAAATGCGCACCCCCGTACTTCCATTTCCATTGACAATACCAGCCAGAAAATGAGTGAAAAGCAGATAGCTAGCAACGAACCATCCCGAAAGAAGCTCACAGCACTCAGTTCCCGTTCCCCATGGCCTAGAGCTCAAGTCCCGACCATTCAGTGCACACACTGCCGACCATGGCCTAAAGGACACCCGTCATTGTACCTCCAGCTCTGGCCTCCTAACCAGCCACCACCTCACACCAGCGGGTTACACCACCCGCCACCAGCGCAGCGGAACCTCTCGCACACTGGTCCAGTCCCACCCCTTCGCTCGCCAGGTAATACAAGCACTACCCCAGTATCCCAGCCCGCAATCGGCGGAGCTAGCGCATACAGGCAAGCCCTACTCAACCCCCCCCACGCGAGCTATCTCCCCACCTCAAGCCGTGAGATGCGTGGCCCAGCCTGGGTTCCCGGAAATTACTCTCCTTGGGGTCCAGCACAACGGCAACTCGTTCTCATGTGATATAAACCCGGGCGACAGACTAAAAGAAAAAAAAAGGTACGTATCGAGGAGCCAGGATTGGGATCCTGGTTTAGTGCTAACTTGCTAAGTGTTGAGTGTCGCTTAGCGTGCCCCCCTCTCCTCTCCCCTGTCAGCTTTTAGTGGGAGTGGCGTTGTGGGTTCGGGTCTGGACATGCCGACACGGACACTGGACACTGGACACTGGACACTGGACACTGGATAGGGGAGGATGCGCTTTGCGGTTAATTTCTGCGAGGGAAAGGTGTTTGAGGTGTTCTTGGGGGGATTTCGGGATCTATTTTCATGGGGTGGGAAATATGCTTATTATTGATTACCACTGCGAGGGAAGATGCTCGGGGATGGGTTAGTACAAGTCTCTGGTCCCGGTTCTGGGAGTTGGTGCGAACGGCGAACGGCGAACGGTCCTTGCCGCTAACTCGGCTAGTGACTAGTGGGATAAGAAGCACCCCCCTCGGCTTGAGATAGATTATGGGTGATTTCAAAGCAGGGGTACGCGGTTTTTTTTTTTTTTTTCTTCGTTTAGGTTCGCTAAGATTAGTGATGTTTAGCCACCGCCCACTCTATTTGCTGTTATTGAAACACGTAGCGTGCGGAGACTGACGGGATGTCAGATTAGTGCTTCTATTTCATCTATCGAATCCTTCTATCAGGATAACATGTGTCACATATATAGTGTAAAACGTGTAAGTAAAGGAAATGACTAAAGAATGTGATGGACCCGGTGATTGGTCCTGTGCTTATCGTCGAGCGTTTCCGCCAGAAAATTACACCGGCGTCGTCGTGGTCGTGACCGTCGTCTTGACGTGGGGCACGGGGAAACTGCCGGCGGCGTCGAAGTCGATGCTGTGGGCGCTGCTGCTCTCGCTCAGGCTGGGGCTGTGGCGGGTGGCCTCCTCGTCGGCCTCGTTGGTGACGTGGAACTGGCGCTGCTCCCAGATCTCCAGGCGGGTATCGTGGATGCGCTCGCCGGACTCGGTGCGGTCGATGGTGGAGCGCAGCTGGGACTTGTCGCCGTTGCGGAAGCGCGACAGGTGGATGGTGGAGCTGTCGAAGCGGCTGGTGAACTTGCCCGTCGTCTTGCGGCTGCGCGTGCGGCTGCTGCGGTCGTAGGAGGAGTGGTGCAGGAACCCCTTCAGGTTGAACATGCGCCGGAACAGCGTCCACGTCTGCGGCAGGTTGGCCACGATCACCGCCGTCGCTGCCTCGCGCACGTACCAGTCGACCCACTCGTCGCCGTACGGCTGCGAGATCGAGTAGTACTTCGACAGGATCGAGCACAGGATCACGAACGCCCCCAGCGAGAACACCCCCAGCAGCGTCAGCTTCTTGGTCAGGTTCAGCTTCGCCTTGACCAGCAGCGGCAGCGGGATCGCCATGATCATCAGGTCCGTCGCGACGTTGAGCGCCAGCGAGAGAATCAGGTGGTTGCGGTAGACGGAGCACTGCACGCTCTTCGGCGGCACGCTCCAGTACGCGGAAAACGGGTGGCACCAGCCGCCGAAGAAGAGGATCTCGATCAGCAGGAAGCACACCGCGCAGAACAGGCTGATGCCTTTGACCCATTTGTGCTGCGTCAGGCCCTTGCTGGGATGGGGTTAGTTTGCGCGACCAAAAGGAAGGTTTGGCTGAAGACGGGTCTCACGTCATGGTCGAGTACAGCAGCAGCAGACACGCCTTGCACCCCCAGATTGTCCCCAACCACATCTGTTCCACCACGATGACCATCTTGCTGCCCAGAATGCGATCGGGGATGGTGGCGGGATCGATACTGTCGATCTGGTTCATGGGGATCTCGTTGGTTCCATGCTGGGCGACAAGTATGAGGAAGACCGTGAGTAGTATGTAGAGAATCTAGGGTGCATTAGTGGGTGTTGATGCTTCGAGTTGTCGCACGACCCGCAGATACGTACCACTGTCACCAGCATCACATAGTCCTCGATCTGCAGGTTACGAATCGAACCCACTTGCAAGGCACGGGAGACAAATCGCATGAGTGCTATCCTGTCCGTTAGAACCATCGCACAGACGCATCGTAGTATTGTAGCATACTGATCAGCAGCACCACTGCAAACCACACCCAGGTGTTCGCACTGGACGTCATCCTGGAGTCCGAGTCCGAGAGGCTGGGTGGGGAGCCTGAAAGCGAAGGCGGTTTAGGTTTCGAGCTCCCTCAATATCCGAGTCATCTGGCTGCTCAGAGTTCAAGAAAGATTGTGAGTGAGTGTCAGCCAGGAACCGTAGGGCTGTCGACTCCCTTTTGTTCCTCACTCCAGGTTATGACACTTGGGTTCGTGTGTTGGTCTCGTTCGGGGAGAGGGGGTTGCCTCGATCCAGCGAAAATAGTCAACGGGCCTGACGCCACATCGGCGGGTCAACCAATTCTTCAGGTGGCTATCACAAAGTTTATCATTGCGATGGATTAAACAATTGGAGAGGAGGGGGGGGGGGGGGGAAGAAAGAGAGGAGAGGCGACTGGGGGAACAAGCCCCTTCTAAAATGACTCGAGGGACAAGGGACCTTCTGGCTGATAAGAATTGGTGGAAATCAACACGGGCTCCAATGGTGAAGCCAGACCCAGGGCTACGGCGTACACGGCCCACCAGTGAACCTCGAAGAGTCGAAACACACAATGTCGCGCATGGACAATGTCCGGATTGGGAGAGCAGTGCTCCAGCGCACACGTGGTTCCCTCGGCCGATCGCGGCGATCGATCCAAGAGGCCGCCCTCGAGGAGACACTGTGTGCCCTTGCACCTGCTGAGATGGCAGCGATCGGCACACTTAGAAAAAAGGTAGAAACTTTTATGCTTTTGTGTGCGCTCATAGGGCTGTTTCTACCATCTACACATATTCAATAGCATGGGAAACTTGTACACATTTTCATGATCTGGTTTCGAGTGGTGCCTCTGACCTGGAGTGAGAGCCCAAATTCAGGAGTGGCAACCCCAGGAAACCCCGCGAGTGCCGACTTTCAGGGGGAAAAAGGGAGTGGGAGGACTCCTGACCCAGCCAGCCAGAGCTGCCAGGTTGTCAAGGCAGGAATAATTAAGCAGCCTTGACATCATTTGGGCCGATTGGACTCATTGGAGGCAATCTATCTTTGAAACGCTTTCCGCGGTTTTCCTTTGGACCGGCAAACTTTAAACGAGACCAAGAAAAATCTTTCCCGCATCCCGCAACTGTGTTTGTTATCGTTTCCCGAAACATGTCGCAGGTCAGATCGTTGACCCAAATCCAACTACTCACTGGGTGATACAGTACCAGTCTGATGTCGCGTCTCTTGTTGCCAGCTCTTGAGCCGTCTGCAACAACCGAAGCACCAGATGAAGCAGACTCCAAGTTATCCAGGGGACGGCAAAGGAGGGAAAAGAAGGAGGTCGGATCGATATCGGAGACCGGGATTAGG